AAATAAAAGAATGGGATGTACCCGTATTAATCAACACATTGACAATAGAATTACACAACAAGAAGTTACTTCTCACTACCGAAGGCGCTGACACTAAGTCTAGCGTGGTAACAGCATACACACGTCCTATAAGTCTCTGCTCTACCTGCTCACCCCTCGGAGCATAAGTTTGACGCACTAACTGAGCCGAAGAGACTTTCTGATTGACCTTCGAGGCCTGAGCTGACTGTGCAAGCTGATGGCTCTATATTTACCTCAAACCAGACGCACCAGGCGTGCCACCCAACTGAGGGTAAAACCTCCTCACATGCCCTGACTACCCGCACTAAAAATAGATAAGTGGTTGCCTTCTCCCCTGACTCTAGCTCTGAGGACAAGCCAAAGATGGTGCAGACTGTTGCCTTCTTTCTCTCTGCAGGCAAGAAGGAGACTTGTGACCCAACTGGCCACACTTAAAACAAGTGAAACCTCCCTGGTTACCTCTCTATAAACCCGAAATCGGCACAGAAAATGTGGATCTAGATTGTACTGCCTGGGACTGTTGTGGGTTAGAACCCCTCTGCCTTTTACTGTCTCGATTCTCCCCCTAAACCTCTTGACTCCTCTGCCTGGAGCCCCTCATTATCTCCTCCTCGATTTGAATCACGACCTCTAAGTAAACTGCCGCCTCAACAAGATGCAGCCACCTTGAAAAGGAGTCTGGTCCTCAAACTCTAAGCAACGACGTTCTTCTGTCGCTACCAACTCTGGTACAAACCTTGACAAGCTAGTAAAGGTAGCCTCAAACTAGGCCGCCGATGTGTTAAGTTGCTTGAGCTTCAAGAACTGCTCCCTCAACTTCTCTCTACCAGTGGGAGGCAAAAACTTATCCTGGAAGACGTTGATAAAAGCCTTTCAAGTCACTCTGATGCGTCCCTGTGCAAACTTCCACCATTGACCCGCATCTCCTTTCAACTTGAAAGATGCCAAGGTCACTCTCAACCCATCATCCTTGATGCCAAGCATCTTGAACGTCTTAACCATCTGCTCGAGCCATTCATCCGCTTTCAAAAGCTCTTTAGGATGCCCCAAAAACTCATCTGGATTCCACCGGAAGAACTCCCTCTTCAAGAAAGACGGCCTTGTCTCAGCAACATGGGCTTGGACTTGATTCTCAGCCTTGAGAATGTCCATAGATTCCTGCAAAGCTCCGGCCATTTCTCTGGCCAAAGTGCCCATGGCCTGTTGACCAACCGGTTTGGCCATATTGGCCTGACTAACCCCTTCCTCCTGTGTTAGAATTTCATCCAGTAATGGCACCTCCTGCCATCTAGGCCTACCACACCTACTACCACCACGTCCACGCCCTAACATCCTAATAAAGGTATCACCAAAGATTAGGACATTCACAAATATGCCGAAGCTAACTCACTCATGTTCTAAAGCGATGGCCAACGATTAATTCACTCCACATAATCACATAAACACATATGAATTTCCTTTCTAGATAATGGTTGTCCCGCAATGTTGTCAGTGTTCCAATTAGAAATAGTAGTAATCAAGTGCTCTTCTAACAGGACTGCTAGAAACTCGTAGACCCAATCAACATATTAGAAATTAAACTCCACACCCATTTAGCCACATAAACATGTTATCACATAGCATACCATACATATAAATATCTCTATCAAGCAAGATAAACCCATTGTGGTAAAAACCACTTCCCTCGTAGCCAAAATATTCAAACCCAGTACGCTTTGATACTAAGTTATAACAACTCAAAAATATAACGATAGCCCATGATGTATAATCAAATAAGATAATGCATTTTCAAAGTGAATATCCTTTCCATTCATATGTGATTTGAATTATACAAAAGATAACACATGCATTTACACATTCACAAGCTCTAACCCTAAATCTCTAGCATGTGTTACAACAGAATATATGATATGAAACTAAAATAAATAATAAATTCCCTAAAGGCTTACAACTTTCCAAGGCGATGCTTGGTTACAACAAAAGTGGATTTAAATCCAATACAGTTAAAGGCCCTTGGCCTGTACAAAACATATAAAACAATCAAACAAAACGAAGCTCTTGCTCCAAGTCCTCCCAAGCTATTACATTAGCGGAGGTTTATTATCAGCATCTGAAAATGTTTTTCCTACATAGGGTGAGTCAAAGCCTAGTAGAAATAATCCATCACAGTATATGAATCTTAACAAAGATACAAGTGAATGCATAAGCAATGCTCGTGCCAAAACATTTTACATCTTTTTCCAAAACCATGTAATGCCAGGTTAATATAAGAATTCATAAGTCTCTTCCTTTACAACTGAAAATAGAGCAGTGAATCACACTTTGGGAATCTCAAAACAATTCAAACCCTTCATGGAACTTTCATCCGTGGGAAACCGTAAATCGGCACTCATGTAAACGTAGGCTCTACAAGCACTACTATTGCCATTTCACGAAAATTTCGTCCGTATGATCGACACCCATGCATACACGCAGTTTTTAGGACTTTCACCATGGACACTCAGGCCAACTTATTTCAACAAGACAACACATACTTGCCAGATTCACTCATTTTCTCAAAACGATAAACATTTCCAATGTATAAATATGAAATAATACTCAATGCAAATGGATGAGACAATAGTTTTAATTCTTCTAATTCTCATGCAATTTCTACAACAATCATAGATATCCTCCACCGATAGCCCAAAACAGATATTTATAAACAGATAAACAATTTTCAATAAAGATAAACTTTCTTAATTTCAAGATGTGAGTGATAATGAATATCCAACTCCACCATCCTCATCAATATCAACCCAATTCTACATTTCCAACATCAATTTAATTTATTCTCTCAAAATCAACATTTGATATATTTAGGGTAAAACCCCCATTTCTTTACAAACTAATTTCAAAGGTAAAAATCCACTAATTCATCATAACTCAACAATAAATACATTCTTTTAATCATTTCCCACAAAGCATTTGAAAACCCCTCTTTTGAAATCAAGCCAAACCCTAGGTTTGTCCAAAATTCCTCCAAATCACAATGTTGTTTTATAAAAACCAATATCTAAGTTAAAAATCAAAAGGAAGTGCGGAGAATCCCTACCTCAAGCTTAGAACATGAGAGAAAGAGTGAAGGAACTTCAATAACACCCAAACCCAACTTCGTTCGGATCAAAAGGAAGCCCAAGGCATGCTCTACCATTTCAACAAAGGGACAAGGGTGAAGAACTCAACGAATCTAGGTGTATTTGTAGAGAGAAGTAGAGTTTTAGAGAGAGGGTGCAAATCTAGGGTTTTAGAATGTTTAGAGAGAGAGAGATAGAAATGAAAAAGTGACTCAAAATTGGCTTTTTACGAATTAATATACGCACAGATCACTCGAGCGCAAGAAGTGTCGCTTAAGCGACTAGACACAAAAGTTACACTGCTCGAGCACAAAAAGCTTCACTCGATCGAAGAATACCAACTCTCAGAGGTTTTATGGATAGAAGATCATCGCTCGAGCTTAAGAAGAGCTACTCAAGCCAACACCACTCAAGCGCAAGAAGTGCTGCTCGAGCGAAGAAGCAAAATTCTGGGCAACAACAGTTTAAAAAACAAGCTACTAACCTATTCCAAACACAACCAACACATCCCAATAGCCAAACTCAAAGAGAAATGAGGGGAAACAAGATATGAACAACAATATAAGACAATGAAACCCAGAACTAAAGCATCAAATGAGTCGGGTCGAAACCAGAATCGCTATAGATGTTATCCTTGTCATAAGTGAATACGTATCAAAATAATCTAGAACTTCTCACTACCTATATCTTTTGATAGCTAGCCTAGCTTTATACTTATCATTTGAGCCATCAGTTTTGATCTTTCTCTTAAAGACCCACTTACTCCCAAAAGCCTTACTGCCTGGGGTAAATCAACCAACTCCTAGGTGTGGTTTTGTAAGATGGAGTCAATTTTACTTTTAATCGCTTCTTTCTACAAAGGACTTTCTGGTGAAGTCACAACTTAATGGAAAGTTTGAGCCTCATCCTCCAACATATAAATCAGGAAGTTTGGTCCAAAAGACTTGGAAGTCCTAGACCTTTTACTCCTTCTTGGCTCATCTACCTCCTCATCTTGATCACAATCACTAGCATCATCTTCAAGTTCATTTCTGAAACTTTGATCCTATCATTGGGTTCAACAAGGAAGCATGTCCTCAAAGAAGGACGTAGTTGTTGATTCTATAATGGCATTCTTGTGTATATCTGAAATGTCAAACTTGTGCACAAGAAACCTATATGTACTATTAGTCTGTGCATAACCAATGAATATACAATCCACGATTTTCTGGTCTATCCTAGCCCGCTTGGATATAGGTACCGCCACTTTAGCAAGACACCCCACATTCGTAAAAATTATAAGAAGGCTTTTGGCCTTTCTATAATTCATATAGGATCTTGTCCACTTTCTTTCAAGGTATTCTATTTAGAATGTAATTCGTGGAGAGAATTACTTTCCCCCACAAGTTCTGTGAACATTACATCCATCATCTCTTTCAACATCTTATTTTTTCACTCAACAACATCATTTAACTAAGGGCAATAAGGCGCTATAGTTTGGTAGATAATTTCGGATTGAGCACAAATCTTAATAAATGGTGATTCATATTCTTCAACACGATTACTTCCCAAAGCCTTAATCTTCCAACTTAGTTGATTCTCAACTTCATTCTTATAAAAATAAATTTATCAATGGCCTCATCTTTGCTCTTAAGCAAATACATATAACAAAATTTAGTGCAACATCAACAAAAGTGATGAAATACTTGTTGCCACCTCGAGATTGTACAACTTTTAAGTCATACACATCACTATGCACTAAATCTAAAGGCTCGGTATTTCTTTCAACATGATGAAATAAAGTCCTAGTCAATTTTGCTTTTACACAAGTTTCACACCTATGATTCAAATTAATCTTGAAAGATGGTATGTGATCTAACTTGATTAATTTACGCAACATAATTCAGGGGATTCAAGCATATAACCAGAAGAAGAAACTTTCTCATTAACTTTAGGGATAATAGTCATTACATTTAACTTGAACATACCACTTGACATATATCTCTCCCCCACATAAACTCTACTTTTGGTCAACACAACCATATCAGATTCAAAAACCATACGGAAGCCATGCTTGCTTAGAAAAGACCCCGAAACAAGTTTTTTGCGAATGTCCGGTACAAACAGGACATCGTTCAGGGTTAGCTCTTTCCTTGAAGTCATCTTTCGGACTACCTTGCATTTCTCCTCAACAGTTGAGATTAAAAAATTCCATATGAACAACTTCTCACCATTTGAAATCGGCTCAAAAGTTGTGAACATCTTTTTCTCTGCATAGATATGGCAAGTGGCCCTAGTGTCCACCCACCATTCCTTCAAATTGGATCCCACCATGTTCACCTCAAAGACGTCAGCCAAAAGATGCATATCATCTATGTCTAGAGAAAGATCCTCCATTTCAGCCATGTGAGCTCGACTTTTGTTTTGTGGAGGATTCTTCTTGTACGACTTCTTCTTTTTGTGGCAATCAATAGCCCTATGCACATCACTACCACAGTTGTAACACTTCCCATTGAACCTATAAGTAGGTTACTACGATTTATAGATCAGCCTTTTGGAGATACCACCTCTTGGCCCCAATTTTGAGCCCTTGTTCACTAGATGCTTCTTCTTGACCCTTATAGACTGGCCATGTTCAATGACATTTTCTTTAACAGTCGGAGTACTCCCTCATTTCTTCTTATTATCCTCCTCAATATGGATCCTGACAACGAGCTCCTCGACTATCATCTCCTTTCACCTGTGCTTCAAGTAGTTCTTGAAGTTTTTCCAGTCGAGAGGTAGCTTCTCAATCAAAGTAGCTGCTTGGAATGATTCACTGAGTAACATTCCCTCTGCATGAATCTTGTGCAGAATTAGTTGGAAATCTTGGGCCTGGCTAATGATGGTTTTAGAGTCTACCATTTTGAAATCTAAAAACCAGCCAACGACAAATTTCTTTGCCACAGCATCCTCAATTTTGTATTTCTTGTCCAAAGCATCCAACAACTCCTTTGCTGACTTCTTGGCATAAAACATATTGAACAATGTATCTGCCAAGTCGTTCAACACATAATTTCGGCAAAGGAATTCTACCTACTTCCAAGCATCTAGAGCCGTGAGCTCTTGTTTATCTTGCTTATTATCCTCCATAGCCTTTCAAGGCTAAGAGTTATCAAGTAATCTCCCAGTGCTCATGATGATTGAACGGTCCCCCCGGAACAACAATATTTCCAACAAGATTGACCATAGGGGTAACAACAAGGGTTGTCATGGCAGTTAACATGGGATTCGGATCCCCACCAACATTCACCACTCTGGTGTTAGTTGCAGCAGCATCAATCACAGTTGTCATTTATAAAAAATATAATAGAATTTCACTATTATGTTTTTCCCATAAATAAACTTAACACTAGAAAATCTCAGAGTCTGAAATTTAATTCAAAACTAATCCACTAACTACAAAATCGATCAAGCCCAGGAAACAGGAGGGGACCCAATTAACCGTAGATAAAACTTTCAAAAAGCTTGTTGATTTCTTGTCAATGGGAAACAAATTTAGAATTAAGTTTCCAGTAGATAAACTAGGTCAAAAAACCAAGTCTTAAAACTTTGAAGCAATTTAAAAATTGCTACCCAAATTACTAGCAAACAAACTTGCTACCAAAAAGTACAAGCAAATAAAATTGCTTTGATGAGACAAAACATAACCAATCCAAATAAGGATTTTAAAGTCCAAATTATTCCTTCCACGCTTAAGTATTTTTGTTCAACAAAAAAGGTTAGTAGTGCAATTCAGGTTTTACAGTCCCAATTTATAATCATTCTATTTTGTTCTTATTTTTTCATTTCCTTTCGCATAGGTATACTTGTAAAGAAAGTTAGCAGAAAAGCACAACAAAATACAAAACAAATAATCTAAAAAGAATTGTAAAGTCTCATGCAATGCAACAATATTTTTTTCCCCACTACTAGCAATCTACCTAATAGCAAAAATAATTAAAGAATGATGTGCTAGACAAGTTTAAAAATAAAAATAAAAAAAAAACAAAAAAAAAACTAATAACTCAAGTAATTAAATTGAAGTTTAATAGTTAAGAGTTATATAAAACTACTAAACCATAAACATGTCAATAATGCTAGAAACCTAGAAAGTAATAAACATGCAACCAAGAAAGCAAAACATGCAAAAAAATTCTAAGAGCCTAACATGCATGCAAATTAAACTAGAAAGCAGTAAGTATGCAAATTAAATAAGAAAACCTAGATAGCAAAAGTATACAACTTTAACTAAAAATTAGAAAGCAATAAGCATGCAAATAATACTAGAAAAGTAGAAAGTAACGAGCATGCAAATTGTACTAAAAATTAGAAAATAATAGGCATGCAAATCAAACTAGAACCTAGAAAATAATAGGCATGCAAATTAGATTAGAAATTAGAAAATAATAAGCATGCAAATCAAGCTAGAAACTAGAAAATAATAGGCATGCAAATTATGCAAGAAAACTAGACTACAAACCAAACACCCTTAGTTCATTATAAAAAAAAAAGAAAAAAAAAACTAGGGAAGTATATTTTCCTAGGAAAAAAATTAGTCCATTAGAAACTACTATATAAAATGAATATATCTGTCTAATTTGTTGAGAAACATAGAATCTGTTTTAAGATTGTTGTCCACAATGTATATTTAAATAAAATAGATAGATTTAGATTTGATTAAATTCATATTACAAAACAATAAATGATAGGACTAATTTAAACTAGAAATTACAAATTGATGAACATAAATATAGAACAAACATATTCTAGAATATCATAATAAATAGAAATAAAAAGAGGAAGCAAACTGAAGCCTGTGTAGCCATAGTTTCTTTAAAACAAATTCGTTGCTTCACTGTAGGGTTCTGAAGGTATGCCGGCATCTACCTCCCAGAATGCGACAGTTGGAACCAACTAAAGCAGAAACACCTTCTATATAGCTTCGTCACACTTCAACAATGGGAACACTCTCTCGCACTAGGAGGAATAATATACGCAAACTAACTATATAACTAGAGAGACAAAATTCTGATTATCAAACAAAAGGAGGGTGGTTTCTATTTATACACAAGGGGGAGAAAGGAAGAAACCTTTAGCCATGAAGGCTAGCAACAAATGCAAGAATAAAGTCTACAAACTTGTTGAACCAACGTAAAAATGAATTCTGCAACACACTCTGACCTACAAACCCGACCCAACCCAAACCTTATCGAGTCTAAGCCTCAAGCCCAAGATCCAAGATCCACGGACTTGAACCAGTCCAACACTATAGCGATTCCGGGTTTTACCCCATATTGTACAGTGATCCGGACTTGGTTCCGTGGATGTTGGCAGTTGTTTATATTTTGTTTACATCCTTTCGTACTTTGTATTTGAGTTATAGGATGCGTTGGGCATGTTCTGAACAGGTGGGTTGAGTTTTGGTCTAAAGTGTAGTTGCCCAGGTTTTTGGTGTTACACTCGAGCGGATCATTCTGCGCTCGAGCGGAGTTTGGTTTTTGGTTGTCCGCTCGAGCGGGCCTTCATGCGCTCGAGCGGGATTTACACACTCCCAGTATCTCATGTCCTTACAAAACTTCTGCACGTGTGTTTTTCACGCTCGAGCGGGTTTCATACGCTCGAGCGGTCGCGCTCGAGCGGGTATGTTGGCGCTCGAGCAGGTAGTGCTTTGTCTGTGAAAGTTCTGGGAGGGGAAAATCTACGCTCGAGCAGACTGGTTTTTCATGCTCGAGCGGATGTATTTTATTCTTGTGTCTTGGAGCTCGAGCGGGCCTTCTTGCACTCAAGCGTGTCCAGATTTTTGTGTTTGACGCTCGAGCGTTCTATTCCCCGCTCGAGCAGAAGTGTCGTGTATCAGTGAGCATCTAAGCATTTTTAAATCACTTTTTACACTTCCTCTCCCTCTCTTACTTTCCCAAAATTGATTTTGAGAGCTCCTCTCTCTAGAATCTCCCTTCTCTCTAGGGTTTGATCTAGCTAGAGTGTTCCACTACCTTGTTGTCTTTGCAAAAGGTGTGTTGATCGTCGAGGGCTTCGTTTTGATCCGAAAAGTTTGGAATTTGGAGCATTTTGAGTTCGGTCTCCTTCTCTATTTGAGCTCTAACTTCGAGGTAGGGATATCCTACTCCTACTTATGAGCTTTGTCTTTGAATTTTAGCATTTTGATATGTTGGGGATTGTTGGGTAATTTTGAGAAAGTTTGGGTCTTTGTGTAATTTTACAAAAGATGGGGTTTTATTTATATAAGCTTATATGCATGTTTAGCATGGAGAAATGAGATAAACGTGGGTTATTGATAGAAATGGAACCTTAGGGTTGTTTTGTTAATTATGGGAAATGCCCTACTTACATTGATGAATTAATTTCTGAAATTAATTTTGAGAAATGAGAAGTTGAATTGAAGAAGTTGAATTGAAAATGTTGAAATTGGGATCGTATGGGATTAAAGGGTGTAGTTGGATCATTTATCACTCACCTAGTTGAAATGTTTATATTTTATCCATTTGGTGCATTTATTTTCTATTTAGAAATAACTGCTTTGGGATATCGGTGGAGAATAGTCGTGATTGTTGTAGACAATGCATGATGATTAGGTAAACTAAAACTAATCGATTGAGTATGCTATCGAGTATAGCGGTTGGAATAATACATTAACTTTATGTATTGATTGATTATGTATATGATCCCTATTTATATACATTGTGTGTTGGAGGAGATATGGGATGTACTCCACGGTTTAGGGGAAGATAGGGGATAGACCTCTAAATCGGATTTTGTGTGACATTAATACAGCACTACAATGTGTATCAAGTGTGGATTATGGAAGTGTTTGAATTGATTTGATATAGCACAAAAATGTATATCGTTATCAATTGTGAAGTATAGAAGTGTTTCTATGTGTTATTGATACAGCACCAAAATGTGTATCCATCATGAATTTCGAAAGTGTTTTAAAGATGAGTCTTAATCTCATTAAGTCATTTGGCTAGGTTCTAAGCCTTGCTTTCAAACTCAAAGTTGAATAAGAAATGGAAACTAAAGTGTGCCATGGTTATGACTGTCGTGAAACTGTAATACGACATACGTTGAAATACAAGTGTGGACCATCTATTGAATGCTATTACTTTAGTCTTTGTTTATAGTTGGTTTAGTATATTTCTACTGGGCTGTGGCTCACCCTTTATGGGACATCATTTTCAGGTACAGGTAGCATGCCACCTCCAAGGACATAGCTTCGAAGGCTAGAGGCAGACAGACTGTTTCTGTTGTTTTGTTTTCTTTTGATGCATTATATGTATATCAAGCCAAGGGATTTCTTTGTATAGAGTTAGTACTCTCTTTTTGTACCAAGTGTTGACTTGGAAAGTTGTAAGCCCATAGGACATTTACTTTTATTGTCAACATGTAATACATTTTGTAATGATTACTCTGATGGAATATATTTATGCTTTATTTTCTTATGTCTAAGCATGCTATTGTTGGATGATTTATGGGTTTATTTTGAGGGCGTTACAAACACGCTCGTGTCACTTTTTGTATAACCAACTTGGACCATAGTTTTGGCCTAAACCCATTCTTGAAGCATCCATAACTCCCTTCCTTCAGAAAATTTGAATGCCCCAAAAGGTTCACACCCTTATCAAAAACTAAGGATTTAAATACGTATCAATTCTTTTATCTACAATCAATGTGGGATAGGTGGTTACATGCCTTTCCCAATACCTCGTTCACGAGGCCAACTTTATGAGACAATTTTTGATGCAATTCTCAATGGTGTTTGGTTATTCTTTTTGTGGTGTAAAGATCTTATTGCAAAAAATCTAGACCCACTAGGACCCACCTCAATTGGTGATTGGGATCCACTTTAATTTCATATTAAAGTACCATAAAACTATTTTTTCCAACACAAATTTTGTGAAAAATCTTGATTTTGATTATATGGGGTTTGTAACAAAAGAAAGGGGCAGTGGGAAAGGTGACCAACAAGATAGGATGTG